GTGAAATCCTATCAACTGCAGGGAACAGGAAATAAAAATGATCAGCATCTGGTTTCATTCTGACTTGCATCTCAATGGTAGTGCACAGTACTAAAGGCTGTTGCTTATCCAGTATGTAGTGAAGGAGGATGATATCATTATGTTCTGTTTAGTTTATAAGTGGTCCGGACATAGCAGGAGGATTATTGTGAAAAGCTTTAAGAGGTTAAAAGCAAACAGACAAGTGTTTTGTTTTTTTTTTGCTTTAACTTATTATTGCTGATTGTGCAGTCCAATGACTATAGAATAATAATACAATGGGAATTTAGATTGGTTCACTCGCTTTAACTATATAATTCTTTCTGCCACTGGGTACAATCTCCTGGGAAAATAAGGGCTCTATTTACAGCACAGAAGATGTGCATCAACAACTGTGCAACCAAAACAGGAGGAGGATAGCGCTTTGGTTTTCCTACGTAGCCATCAGTAGCCAGCCCCAGTTAACAAAGAGTATTTATGGAAGTTTTTTGCCATGGCTATCCCCAGTAGCAGAAATGGTTGACAGAAGAACAACCAAAGTAACTGTGGAAACTGCGGAAGTTGCAAATCTCTGCGAAAAATGCAAAACGATCCAGATGTCTTTGCAACAGCGCTGCAAACGCTAATGCCATGTATAAACACTAGGGGGACAAAAGTTAAAAAGAGGTCTGTTTTCACTTTAAAGGTCAGTGTTTCTGTCCACTCACTGTGAGATATACAGACGTTTTCACAGGTAAGCAGTAAACCCCTAATAACAACGGAGCTGAATTTATGTGTAAAATTGGCAGAGTGCCGCTTTAGAGGATTTAATTTTAATACTGCTTCTAAAATGAATAGCAACGAGAAGGAATGTTTAAATCTCTCTAAAGGACTTGTGTTGTGCTTCATTAGATGGTTACAAGAACTGTGACCTATGTGGGATTTGTGGTTGGAGTGTGGTATTTGGTTGAATTACTGTACATATTGTTAAAGCATATGGATACGTCCTGCACATAATTACTACATGGGTGTAGCACTTAAGTATCAAAAGTAAAAGTCCTTAATATGCAAAAAAATGCCCCCTGAAACTGAAACATGACAATATATCACATTATGAGGTTGTTTCTGATACAGAATTTTTCTTTTGTAACTGCTCAAGGTGGAGCTAATTATTACTATGTTACAGTTAGGTGGAATAATCCAGTGGTTCCTGAACTAGGGGTCAAGCCCCTCTGAAGGGTGACTAGATAAATCTGTTATTTCCAGAAATAATCTTGGCGATCAAACCCAGGGTGGGGGAGCCCCTCTGTGCCGAGTTTGCATGTTCTCCTTGTGTCAGCGTGGGTTTTCTCCAGGTACTCCGGCTTCCTCCCACAGTCCAAGGACATGCAAGTTAATTGGTGACTCTAAATTGGCCGTAGGTGTGAATGTGAGCGTGAGTGGTTGTCTGTCTCTATGTGTAAGCCCTGCGATAGCCTGCCTCTTGCTCAGTGTCAGCTGGGATAGGCTCCAGCCAGGACTGAGTCAGTCTAAGCTGTGTTTTCTTGCCACAGTCGACATTATGTGGCTTACCTTAAGTTTGTGCAGAGTGCTGCTTGCATGTCAGTAAAAAAAAAAGAACTCGTATTAGAATATTTGAATTTCTCTTTGCAGGTTTTCAAATGGAACTGTTTTAATTGCATTAGTCTAAAAGTTTCAGTCTACCCTAAAACCCTTTCCAGTCAGACTTTAGTCTGAGGCTTTTGCTATTCAGTGAGTCATTTCAGCCAATGAAGTTGAGTCCAGGCTATCATACTGGACTTAGAAATATATCTTAAACAACCTGTCTTTACAATAAAGGCTGATGATCAGTATCATCAAAGCAACAAAAAGGTTTGTTGTGACTGGTTCCAATTCTCTATTTTGCATTTAAAACTACAAAACGGCAAATGCGATCCCACCAGTGTGTGTGTGTTTGCATATAAGTGAGTGCATGTGTGTGTATGCATTTGTATGATACGTGTTAAGATTCAGGCAGTGAACTGAGGCCTTTATAAATAGTGATGAGGACAGATGAAATTCTCTGCGGTGAACTGTGAGGGAACAAATGTGCAATCACATGTCCAAGCTTGGGATATTACAGAAATACTCACCTCACTGGAAATCCTATGGGAATCCCTTTTAGCTGTATGCATACTGTCGGGATCACTGGACTCCACAGATGATTTGTTCATTTGTGCAACTGACATTTTCTGTAAGTCCAGCCCAGTTGAAATGGCAGCTGTGGCTTCCTTTAATCTTCAGACAAAGAACAGACAAATAAACTCACTTTCCCACCATCTTCTGCTGTTTCACACCTTTGTGTGAAACATTTTCCCATTCAGTCATGATTAGTTACTGTGGCTTGTGAACCTGTGATGTCACCAAGCCAACAAATAGAAGAATCTTTCTCCTCTTCTCTCTTTTTCTCCTGGGACCCCCAGCGAAAAGGGTTACCACTAAATGGGAGGCCTGCCTGGCCTTCCTCTGCTTCTTCTCACCTCTGTTGCATGAAAAAGCAAATGACAGCTCTCTGCATGTGGCCTGCTCCCAGCAGACACAGAATTCTTAAAAATGGTAAAAGTTAGTACCTGCAACAGACACAAAGTTTGCAAGATAACTTTCAGTGCCAAACTGCTTACTCTGTATGACAAAGAGTGACCAGTTTCCTAGTGACTAACATGCACCACTGGAATACAGCACTGCAAAGACTGCATCAGGAACCATAGTTCTTAACAGCTTTGCTCATCCTCAATGGACAGAATAGGCAGTTAACAAGCAGCATAACAATCTCTTCCCTGCATTCATTGACTGGTAACATCACAACTGGGCATAGCATTAGTACAATTGTACAGACTTAGCAAGACTATTTGACGTCTTTCAATTTCCATGTATTGATTTGAGGCTATTTGATGAGTTATTGTTGTGATTTCTTTGTAGTCAGGTTATTGGGTAGTTGGCTTTGCCAAAACTAAGTTGATGTTGGTTAGCTAATGCTCCACACAGACAGAGTCTTGTGTGCAACTAAACTTCCTTATTAATAACCTTGCACGTTTATGCAACTTAGTTTACACACATATACTTTAATTTGGCCCTTGCACACACCTACAGATGCAGAGAGGGAACTTAAAGCTGCCACTGTCTACATGCTCTCTTGTTCTTCTGACCCACCACATGTGGTGAGGGAGAACCTCAGTGGCCATCTTTGATTTGGCCATCTTCTTTGTAGCTATGTCTGTTGTCAGTCATTTTGTCTTTGTGACTTCACACATACACCCACACACCCACACACACTCTTCCTTATGAAAAGAATATATGATAGAAAACTGGGCATACTGTCATTGCCATGCAAAGCTCACTATTTATCAGTGTGGATGTGAGCAGAGGCTAATCTCACCTTAGGTCTCAACTTGTGTACACAAGTTTGAGTCAGCCTGGACTTGCAGTGCAACATATTAAATCTAGCTGAGTTGGAGAATTGTTTTTAGACTATATTATGACTGGCATCTAAGTATTTGCAGCCATAGATTCATCACTTAAAAAAGCAAAGCCCATAGGAAAATATTATAGTTTGTGAAAGCTTACACTGACACGCTCACAGCTCACAGTTGCTTGGCTCTGTGGGACTGGCTGCAGGCTGACTGCAGGCTGGACACCACTGGTGCCCAGCTCTAATTCATCTGAAACTTTTTTTTATAACACTGACAAACCAAATCATGTTTATATCATTCATGGTTAAAACATTTTTAAAAAGAAATAAAGGGTAATTATTTAAATACCAGTGGCCTAAGTGATTATATTTTTATCGTTGTCGGCTTGGACACAGATGGTGGGTCTGTGTATCCTCCACCACCTGTTATGCTTGAAATGAAAGCAGATCCAATAAACACAGCCACACACTCCTCAGTCAATTATAGGCTTTTATATGAATATTATAATATTATTATTACATAATATATGGATCAGTTATGTAGGCAGTGGGTTAGTGTATATCATGGATGTATAAATTAAATAGTACAAATAGTACAATAGTCCACTACAATGCTGCTGACCACAGCAGTGTTTAATTTCTCTACTGCATTTTTCTGCCTTTCTTTGATGCCACTTTTCAGGTTGCTTAATAGAACCAGTTGGTTAAAATGGACCTACAACTCAGTGTTTCCATTTCTAGCTCAGAGAAGTTTCTCTTCCTACATCTGTCTATGTTATAAAATCTGGGGGCAAGGCCTCTGAGAATATATTGGGGTGGGATATTTAAATGACGCTGTGACTGGTGAGATACAAACATTTCATGATCACATGCAACCCTATTGATTTATATGTAAGGATGATAAAAGAGGGCCTCTCACAAAAGTGTGTGTTTTTACCTTTGCTTTTTGCTATATAGTTAATTGTCATTTTTGGGCAGTACGGTGGCGCAGTGGTTAGCACTGTTGCCTACAGCAAGAGGGTTTCAGAATCAAATCCACTGGCTGGCTGAAGCCCATCTGTGTGGAGTTTGCATGTTCTCACCGTGTCAGCATGGGTTTGCTCCAGGTGCTCCAGCTTCCTCCCACAGGCCAAAGACGTCCACATTAGGTTAACTGGTGACTCTAAATTGCCCTGTGCGTTGTCTCTTGCCCAGTGTCAACTGGGATAGGCTCCAGTCCCCCTACCACCCTGTGCCAGGAAAAGCGGTTATGGATAATTAATGAATGAATTAATAATTATTTTTAATAATCATTAATTATTCCTTATAGCCATATTAATATGTTTAACCACAAATTCCAAACAATACATATTCTCAAAATGTTGTTAATAATTATAGATAAAGTGGGATATGTTGTAGTAATTTGTAAAGGTCTGTTCTTATCAATCTCTTGGGGCTTCATGCTTGTGATGCACATAATCCTTCGATTTGAGATTTTCTTTTATGGCTATCTGAGAGATTATCTAAGAGATTCTTTTTGCTTCTTTGTGATCCTCCTCTCTTTTCTGACTCTCAGATCATAACCATGAGAGATTATGTTCCAAAAATTATTGGCCAGGAGGCTTTTGAACATTACATTGGACCCTACAGGGGATATGATCCAACCACAGACCCCTCAGCCTCCAATGTGTTCGCCACTGCTGCATTCAGGTTCGGCCATGCTACCATCTCTCCAATCCTCATGAGACTGAATGAGAGCTTCCAGAGGCATGAGCACTTCCCCCACTTGAGAATATCCAATTCTCTCTTCAGTCCATGGAGAATAGTCAAAGAAGGTCAGTACACTCTTATGAAGCTGTCTATTGAAACTTATAATTTATCCTGCAAGCCCACTAAACAATACTCTATTTAGGTCAGCTTCAGCATGACTTTATTCAGCATAAGTGTCTGTCTTGTGTAATAATCACTTGCATTAAATTCAAGTGAGTTAGAGCTTGGAGTAGTGCTGCAGAGATCCAGTAAAACACCATATATTGTGGCAAGCAATGCAGAGCATTAATATAACAGTGAACAACTATTTACTATGTAAAGATATCGTTGAGTGATTGGCCTTGAGCAGGGAATGAAGTCACGGTAACACCATTAGCTCTGTAAGCACTGCTACCATTGCTACCAGCGCTGTTTATGGAGTTAACACCGTTAACTGCTAGCATGTAGTGAATCGTGTCCAGACAACTTGAGCTTCATTTTGCATAGAGCCCCTTAAGTCTGAGTTCAAGACATGTTCGCACCAGTGCATGTAATATATATTTGGGACGTGCCTATTTATCAACTAAATGTCAATATCAGCAAATTGGATGACATTCACCGATGCCTGAGGCTGATGGGTTTTTTTTGTCACTTCAACTTTGCGCAGGCTAAAAAACAGGGCTCACAAACTTAAATAATAAGCAGGTAACAGGCCCCCAGGAAAGCAGCTCAGCCGTACAGCCAATTTTTTCCACTAGCCTCTTGCAGTAATGCGGCCCTAAGCATTTTCCCAATAGGCCACTATTATAAAAGAAACGTCTGTAAACCTGTTGACAGGACACCTCGAACTGCGAACAAGGTCAATTATGACTCTTTCTACAATGAATTTTGGATCCATGAAGGCTCTATATTTGTAAAACTTTATTGGAGCCAAGAAAACCAATTTAAAAATCCATGATGTCATCACTATGTAAAGTCTATGAGCTGAGCGGGAACTCTGGGGCCAGTGGCAGAAGCACTACTGCACATTTTCAGTGGGCTGCATACCACAGAAGTAAACCCAAAAGCTAAAAAAGTTTTTGGTGTATGCGCCAAGTGAGCAACTCCATAGGACTGAATAGGCATCATTTTGCCATCTGGTATGGAGGTATTATTATAAATCTGTGGCAGATACAAGAATAAAAGAATGACTTGTTGGCATATTGACTCTGTGATCTCACTATTGTGAGACAAGATGGTAAGTAGCAGCTGGCGTACAGTCATTCATGGGGCAAAGTTGCAAATTCTTGGATAGCGAAGGAATGACCTGCCCTAATCTCCCCATGACTGGCTAGTACTTGTTGCCATCGTTGGTGGGATTGGTCAGGATTAGGATAAGAATGTCAGGGTAAGGCAATCAGAGGCATAGTAAGGCAGAGTAAGGTGAGCCATTCCTTTGCTATCCTATGATTCATCAATTCATGTCCAGGAGACAATAGAAAATGTTTGCGGGAGGAACAGAGATCTTCCCCAGGATGCTTTCGGGACAAAAGGACGCAGTAAACTCACTATCATCACGTTGAAGGGCCCACCCTATTGTTTCCCTAATACATGGTGAACAGCAAATCCATGTTAAAATCAGCAGGACGAGAGCCAGTTAAAGTTAGCTGTTTGCAGCCATTGGCTGCAGCTAACAGATGTTGCATTAAGTAACATTATGATTCGTTCAAGCTCTATTCAGTAAAATTAGTATTGGGCAAAGGCTAATCATAACATTCTCATGATGTGTTCAGTGACAAAGTCACAAAGAAAGAAAGAATGTGATCTTGTAAACTTTAAATTTAGTTTCAAAAGCTCTTCTCTGAGTTCAACTGAAAGTAAAAACAGAAATTAGCTAGCAGGAGTACTCTACCTTGGCACTTTTTGACTGACCTCTGTGAGATGAAAATTTTTACCTTGCTAATATTATATAAAGGAATGTGTTCAGTCACCTACCACTGAGCACAAGTCCATTCCTTTTATGAATGTGTTGTTATGATAAACAGAGTATTCATCCCAACAGTCAGTTCATCTTGTTTGCTCAAATGAAATTGTTTGGACACCCTTGAGCCCTCGGAAAGCAGAAAATCCAAGCTTAGGAGTGATAAAGAAAAATGTTTTGTGAACTGCATAAAGAAAGCAAACCACACAGAAAAAAAACTGTACTTACCAACCATATATGCATTGTTTTTTTTGTCTCTTTGGAATGAGGGACTACAGGCAGGCTTGACTGGTAAAAAAAAATTAGTATTCTGTTTGCAGTTTTATGACATCAAGTCACACAATCTCTTCATTTTGAAGTCCAGGTTGTTCAAAATCTAAATGGTAACAGGAAACGTGTCATCTTGTTGTGTGAACTCAAAGTATGCTTACATCCCAGAGATAACAAAAAGAAGAATTAATGTCTCTGATTGACTATGACAGTATAAGCATTGTGTTTGTGTATAGGTGGGATTGAACCAGTCCTGAGAGGTGCATTTGGAAGTGCAGCATCAGCTGTTAGCGCAGACATGCTCCTAACAGAGGAGTTAACAGAGAGTCTGCTCATCTTTAATGTGACACAGCACATGGACCTGGCTGCACTGAACCTGCAGAGAGGACGAGATCATGCTCTCCCAGGTAAGTGCTATAGGCTGAGTCATAGTGACAGTCAATAATCAGCCCTGTTAAATCTTTAAAGTTTAAAAAGGTTCTTTGTTAACACCCTCATAAGATTCCACTAGTAATCCATCTGTGGAACCATTCACAAACAGGTAATGTCTAGAGGAAATATTCACTAACTTAAGTAGACAATGTCTGATCCTATTAGTAGCTTGTTTCTGAAGTTTGCTGCTTCCTGGTTCTTTAAAGTAATGACCGCAGAAGTATGACAGAGGAAGACCAATACCTCTCTCGTCTGTTCACTATAAAGCTTGGCAATTAGCTTACCATTGCTGAAGGAGAACTCCACCAACTTTACACATCAGAATCTATTTACTGGTCTCGAGGAGTACTACCATGTTAAAATAGTTGCATTAAGCCTTTTGTGTCTCCAATGGGTTCTGTGAGAAGTCTGATAAATTGTCTCAAGTGATGCCATGTGAGCCACGAGCTAAAGACTACAAGTTTAAAAATGATAAAATATAAATTAACCGGGGATGTGGGGTTAGAAAGAGATGAGCTTACCAGACCTCTGTAGCCTGCTGTTCATTTACGCCTGAGGCTAGTGGCTTGAGACTACATTAGCTGCTACTAGCATAACACTCCTGAATCTATGATCAAATTATTGGTGGCCAAGTTGCATTGTGGGTAATGTAGGTGCCATTTTTTGACCAGGCCCCCAGCAAGTGGCTTTGAAGCCAATTCTCAAAGTGGCTTAAAGGAAATGGCCACTTTAGAATGAAAATACAGACAGTACTTACTGACCCTCATGCCTACAAGAAGTCCAGTGTAGTTTTTTAATCCACAAAACTCGTTCAGGGTGTTGGAGGATAACAGCCTGCCGGAATAACAGCTACACTTGAAGTGCATGGAACCCACATTTTGAAAATGTAATAAAACCGCTAATGCATTTCAAAAACGTCAGAACGGCTCGTCTGTCGTAATCCAAGTGCCCTGAAGCCACAGTATGCAACACTGACTTGAAGAGACGTAATTTACTCCACTTTTATAGCATCATTTCTCACTATGGTCAGTTAGCCTGCCCTGCAGGTGTGCTGTGTTTACATGGCAACTTGCGCGAGACTAGCACGAGTTGCCATGTAAACACAGCCACAGAGTAAATTATGTCTTTTCAAGTCAATTTTGCATGCCGTGGCTTCAGGGCACTTGGATTACAACGGACGAGCCATTCTGACGTTTTTGAAGTGCATTAGCGGAGTTTTATTACAAAAATTCCTTCAGAATTTGCTGAAATTTTTGATGCAGTCCAACTCAGGATGACCCCGACTATGACCCTGTATAATCCGTAGTAATTTTACTATCTCACGCCAAACTAAATTGTCTTGTCAGTATTGCTTGTCTTTATCCTTATATTTATTGTAGACATAAGAGTGGTATCAATCTTCTTTGCAAATTGCAAATGATTATTGTGCTGAAATGACTTCAGGATACAATGCCTGGCGATCCTTCTGTGGACTGAGGCGCATCAAGACACTGGATGATTTCAAAAAGGTTGTGAGAGACTACAGGGTCACTGAGCGGATAGCACAAATATACAAACATCCCGACAATATTGATGTCTGGCTTGGAGGGCTTGTTGAGTCCATGTTGCCGGGCTCAAGAACTGGACCCCTCTTTGCATGCCTGATTGGAAAGCAGATGAAAGCGCTTCGTGATGGCGATAGGTACATTAATGTTTTCTTGATTTCAAAAGAATTTATTAATATTATAGTGTCTCACCCTGGACCACTTTGGCAAATCACATCAGAGATCATTATTGCATATAAATTTTTTGCTCTATCCTTGAAGATTTATTGAAATGTTTGATTCAACATGGAGAGATCAGCTGTTTTTATTTTTCAGGTTTTGGTGGGAGGCTGAAGGTATGTTCAGCCAGCAACAAAAGGCAGAGCTTTTTAAAGGTTCCCTGTCTCGAATCATCTGTGACAACAGTGACATAAGGAAACTCCCCCTTGATCCTTTCATGTTCGGGAAATACCCCTATGACTACGTTTCTTGTGATCAAATGCCATTTATTAATTTGGGAGCTTGGAGGGAGGAAAAGAGCCAAGGTGGGCCTGAAATACTCTCATGCTGGTCCTAGTCCTAATATGTGAAAAATCATACATATTCCTTTGAATTTTATTGTGCCTCGCATTAACATGAAAAACTTTTATCTCTCATTTCCAGACTTAAAACAGTGTGGCACTCCGAGAAAGATAAAGAATGGGGATTTTATTTTGTCCTCTTCATATGGCAAACTGGTTGCTCTGTACTCCTGTTACCATGGTTTCAAGTTAAAGGGTGCTGCTGCTATAGTTTGTGAGGGAAATCGATGGAGTGATCAACCCCCACAATGTACAGGTACATGAACTATTTTTGCCACGGATTTGTTTCATAACATTTGTTTGTTATGACTGTCATGTCCTGTTGTCTATGTGGACTAGTTTAACATAAAAGGTAGATTTCACAGTCAGCTGGTTAATAGCATACCCTAATTGTATGAAGTGCTGCATATTGGAACATATACAGATCAGCCTTGGAAGTATTTAGTAACAAACCAAAGACATAACCCAGCACATATCCATCCATCCTTGGAAATGCTGCACTGTGCTCTTGTCTTACTGGAGCTTTACTGCTATCTGCTGGTACTCATGGAAAAAGGGAAATGCTCCAACTGGAAATATATTGGGAATAGGGATGCTTTATGATTTGAACCATCTGCCAGTGAGTCACAGTTTCAGTGCAATTATTAAACTGCACTTTTTAAGTCCCATCTGCAGCATTTGAATGCTGACATGTAGACAGCAGGTTGTGAATGAGTTTAACTACCTTTCAAGCAGCCATTACAGTGTAATATAAAAATCATTGCAGAGAGTTGGGTCTCAGTTGAGTTTAGTATTCTATCTCAGTGAACAAATGCCTTCTCAAATTGTGTAGTTTGATCATTGAGTGCTAATGCAGACTGATTTGAAAACTTTTTCTCAATAATGTGTTCAGTGCTTGTGGAAATGTGGAAAAATCCTATTCATCAGTCAATCAAGCAAGCGCATTGCATTCACTAAACAGACATATTCTTCTGCAATGATTTGCATATTTCATTTTTGTTATACCATGCAGCTTGTATTTCTCAGAATATCTTCCCCTAATCCTGGGAAAACTATAAAATATCCATATTGTTCAGAGCACTTTTCCATTGTTAAGAGTTAACTATATGGTATATGTTGTTATGAGATCTAACATCATGTTATATTTCAGTGAATTAATGATGAGAAATGGAAACTATTTCAACCATGATCATAAAGCCTTTGATTAGCTTGCACTTACTCATTTGTCTAAGGCAGGGGTCAGCAACCTTTGCTACCTGGAGCTGCAATACCTACTTGTATTTTATAATAAAGGTATCACTATTATTAAAAGTTCTAAATAAGCATTCATTAATATGTTTTAGCATGGCTACTCTGCAGTGGATTGTTTATAATTATTTGGTACTTAAACGTTGCAGTGTTGGCAGGGAAAGCAACGAAATCTGTCCACTCGCTATTAAGTTGTTCTGTTTTCTGTTTTCCTCTGAGACTTTTTCTTTTGGATTTGGAATCAATCTAGTAAGGGAGGCACTACCGCTAACTAGCATATATAGGTTGACCAATATTTAGGAGAAGGGACTAGGAATCATTCACAAACAGTATACTCTGTTTAACAGCTTTCTCTGTACTATTATTAGTGAATCTCCCTGCATACAGGGTTACACGACTCAATACTAAATCACAACAGTGACATCCTAATGCATGGGACTCAGGGACAAAATGCCATCAGATGGAGCGACAGTGGCCTATGTTTCTTTGATATGGCAGTGGGAGAGTAAACAAAAACTGTTTTGACACAGATCATATCCCTCTATACTGTGTGTATATCATTATAATATATCATTATATTATCATTACCATCAGTCTTCTGAAATACATTTTGTCAGTATGTTTAAAAGTTATTATTAAGAAAGAGGCCTCAGAGACAGAGGACAGCATCATGTACTTTCAGTTTACTCAGGTAAACTGGGTGTTAACGTTACAACAGGACCTGACGGTCCTTGTGAGTTATATCATCATCATGATGTCATGTGATATAACCAATAATCATGTTGTTGTTTTTGTTTGTTTTTGGTTTCTTTTTACAGGGAATCATCACTAAGTTGTTGTCAATGCAGCGGATCCAGAAATTCTTCAGAGTTTTATGACCAAGCTCAGGGAAACAACGTCATCCTTGCTCTAGTTTTCTTCACTGTTTATAATTTTGTTGATTTGAGTGGAAATTAACAAGTTTTATGGTTTAACCTATCATTATGAAGTAGAAGTTGATTGCACAATGTTATGGCTGTAGAATAATGACACCATCATTGTTCAGACTGATTCCCTATAAGCAGTAAGTGATTTGTTTGTTGTTAGTTTTTTAACAGGGGGACCCTCTTATTCCCCCAGTGGAGTTTTAATAGATGGAACTATCTGTTTGCTTTAACTGTATGTTTGCCATTGATCCTAATTTAAAGTATCACACACTGTTGGGTAATTAGGGGGCAGCCAGAGTGTCACTCAAAGTGGCTCACCCTTAATATTGCTTAAATTTAAGCCTTAACAAAATGCAAACAGGTAATTTATATAAAAATTCACCCCCCGTACAGTTGTCATGAATGTTGAAATTAGCTATAGAGTTTGTTGTACCAGGCTGTAAACATGTTTATTTCTGCTGTAAAGTGGCCTCGAGTGGTTGTTCAAAGAACGGCAGTTTTTGGCACTTTGGTGTTGGCTTCGTTTTTCAGCTCCAAGGTTGCAGCTTGGTTAATAATCACCATGGTCTGGGAACATATGATGAGACATACTGGTTTTGAACTTCCCATGGGAAGAATGAATGTAAGAGTCTGTCCATTCTTTATTAAAAGCTTTTCTTTAGACTTTAGAACATGCCATGTGGAAATACTTTTCTCTGAGTCTCTTATTTCTCTGATTGTTGTCTCTAGTCTTGTCACACTTGTGCTTGTCTCCCACTTGCTGAGTTGTAATACTTGATTAAAATGCACACATTTGATTGGCTGAGCAGCATTGCGTGAGATGACTTAACATGCAGTTTCCTGGGGTCTCATTAATAACCACTGTGTACACACACGACGAGGCCTGGGAGGCGTACGCCACTTCCCACACAAACTTTGTGATCTGTAGAAACAAACTTGAGGACAGAATGTGTGCACCTGTGGGGACACTCTGCCCTGTATGTAGAGACATTTTGGAGAAATTGGCAAAATTGGTGAGATGGTGAAATCAAGCCAGGTTATAGAAATCTGGTGTGATTTGATGTCATGTCATCAGTGCTGTCTCACCATCACATTCCTCTCCCAGAACACAGAGGAGAGGGCCGGACTGAGTGCTGCTGACACTCAGCTATGGTCAGCTTTGGAGCACACACACATCAACCAGCATTAAATACCTGCAAAACAGAGTGTCAGCAGTTTTCAGTAATATCTTCTAATACTGTAAATATATGCCATAATGACCATAAAGAACCATTGATCAGCAGGCTTGATTCTATGCATCAGTGTTCATGAGGTGCTTTGCACTGATCATTTATGGTTGAATGTGGGCGTATAGAGGGCGGGATATGAGGGTGATCCATGTGTGGACAATTCCAAGTTAATTTGGGATTTCAAAAAAGGAAATTGTGCACTGGCAGGCTAGGCAGGGTTTTATAAATCAGAATATATTTGGTGCATGCTAATTTTGGCTTTTGGCTGCACTAACACTTTTAGTATGGATCCTATGCACTGTTTTAAAAGCAGTGCTACAAAATGTAATAGTTCTCAGATATTTAATTTTGGTCCAGATAGGACAGCATCCGGGTCCAGATTTGGGGTTTGGAGAGGGACACATTTGCGTCATTTTGCTAACAAGGGCGATGGCGTCCCTCCCCCTCTTCCACCCTCAAATCGCTGACTGCCTACAGGCCAGGCTTTCACTATGCCACTCTGTCTGCCACCAGGAACCACCTCCCAGGAAAATGAAGGCTTTGTTTATGTGGGGGGGTTTTAAATGTGGAAACTTAATTTAAAAATATTTAGCACTGGGTTGACCCTCTCTCATTTAATTTTGTTCAATAAAAATATATACACTGACTTATAAATCAGAGCTCTTTTAGCCATGTTTTACATTGTATTATTTATACGAGACTTCATTTGAAATGACTTTTTCAGCCCAACTTTTACTAAACATGAATATGACAGTATTTTTCTTGATGACACACAGATACGAACCCCAGACAACAATGTCAAGCAGCCCACACCAAGTACTGTGCAAAATATTTTCTTTACTTTCTGAAAGGTATTGCTAATAAAGTAGCAGCAACATCAGCTGATAGATAACCTGTAACCTAATAATAACAAAATACCTTTCTGTTATGAAACCTGGCCAAATGCGTCATACATGGCACTGACACTGAATGCGAACAAAAAAAGGAATGTTGCTGAGAACATGACTGACAAGCATTGCAGTGTACCCTGAGAGCCAATAACTTATTGCAACGGTATGCCTCTTGTTAAACAGTACATTTGATTGATGATTTTTCAAGTTAGAATAGAACATTGAGGAGCCCTGGGAGATAAACTCAGGTATAAATCACTATTAAAAAGTCCTTCTATGTACAATCCTGCAGATTACATCAAAAAAGACTTAAAAACTTCAGCTTTGTTTGAGGTGCAGTTATGTTTCTTTTTCTCTCATTTGATCTCACTAAATCTCACACTCTGTCTGTCCTTTCATCTTGATAATTTCTAGATTAGCCAGGAGGCTGTCCTATTTAAACTAAGTCCTTAAACTAGTATTAGAAACATCAAGAGGGATGCAAACCAAGATAACCAGCAGTCTATCTGCAAACAATTCCATTCATTCCTTGTGTTTCTGCATCCACCCGAAAAAAAAACCAACTTATTTTTTAATCCCTCTAAAGTATAAAAGGACTCTTTTAGTGTGCTGTCACACCTGTAGTTCAGTTTATGTAAATTGTTGCATTTTAGTTCTGGTACAGCTCCTGTTTATACCACCTCCTTACAAATGAACCAAGGGGAGTAAACACAAAGTCATATGGACTGATAGGTAACTCTTTGATTGGACAGTTTTGGCAGTTGTCATCCTGAATCATCAGCACATCATCAAGTCCTATGTGAAGAAAAATTCCGGTGTGTATATTTATGCTCTCTTAACACTGGCTCCAGATAAAGCCATTTACATTTTTCGCTTTTTTACATTGGCCATCTACAATAAGCAGCATTTGAAAATCATTGATTTGTAACACAATATTTAATGTTTTTACAATGTGTGGTCCTCACCAGGTACTGATTCACAGACAAAGCACCCTTAAATAACTACCTGCGTAATTTCTAGATTGTGACACAATCTGCTCCTCTGTCTTTTCCTCCCTCCATCCACATTCCCACATCTCCTAGTCTGCTAATGGCCATTTTCTACCTGTTCACCAAATGCCATTTGACTTTTCCACCTGCCCCATTCATATCACTGTCTCTGGCTTGATCCAAATGTCCACCCTCGGGACTTGCAGACTGAGCTCTTGTGGAAAAATATTGCCTATGCATTCCGGGCATAGATCTTACTATATAATGACGAAAACTCTGTCTGTAGGCGTGTGTGTGTGTCTGTCTGTTTGTCTGTTCCACGTTTTTCTCCTCACTGACTTGGTCAATCCATGTGAAATTTGGCACAGTGGTAGAGGGTCATGGAAGGATGTGAATGAAGCAATATTACATCAATTGGCCAAAGGGGGCGCTAAAGCAACCGATTGATATTGCAAACTTTGAATGGGCATATCTCATGCCCCGTATGTCGTAGAGACATGAAACTTTGCACAGAGATGCCTCTCTTCATGAGGAACACATTTGCCTCAAGAACCCATAACTTCCGGTTATATAGATTTTCCGCCATTTTGAATTTTTTGAAAAACACTTCAAATCGATCTCTTCCTAGGAAGTTTGACTGATCTGCATGAAACTCGGTGAACATAATCTAGGGACCAATATCTAAAGTTCCCTCTTGGCAAAAGTT